CCGGCCCGTTGACAAGTATGGCAATACCTATTTTCCTTCCCATGTTTCAATTTTCCCGTGTTCCTGCTTTCCCTCCAACCCATCTGGTACAATCGCGCGCTAATGAGCGTCCCACCGTACCAATTAAAGCGACACAAGACGATGGAAAGAGATGATCCGGCTTTTCCGGTGCCGCTCGAATTTTCCAGGTGGTCCTTATTAGCAAGCCAGTTGTATCCTTGATATACAACTTTGCTTTGACGTTTGCCGCAATTCACGATTTGCCCGGCGAATATGAATATGCTAACCAGGTAGGTTGCATTCTAATTAAGATACTTCTAGCAAAGGATGCTTGTGATAAACACTTATCGTGTACTCTTGTTAATTATTCATATGCCGACCAGGACCCGCCCACATGCGTGCCATCGAAACTAGTCTGCTTAAAGGTAGGACATTCGAGAAGTGGTGCATGGTGGTGGTGTCTCCCGAGACTCTCTCCCAATTCATCTATCATTTCTGTCGCCGTGTTGACCCCATTCAGTCCATGTACTCTCGTTTTGCTCCACTTTTCGTCATGTTTTTCATAATAGGGGCCAAAAGTGAACACCTCACTTATTCATTTTCTTAACCAAACGCCTTCTCTTTTTTCTCGACCCCCCATAACCCATACCGACCATCTGTTGGCATACGCCACTTCCGTGGCAGGTGCCTTTGTCCGGGAGAAGGAGGTGAAACGACGGATTGCTCACCTTCGATTCCCGCCCCTTATTGGGGAGGTTGAGACGGGAGAGGGCGGCAATCCATGGACCATAATTCATTTTTCCTCTCTTTTCTGTCAGCTTCTTCTGTCAGAAAGACGAATTGGGGAAGCTTTTTTTGAGACTGTCTCATCGAATTTTTTAAAAATTTTCTTTCTTTTTGGATTTTTCTATTCTTCAGTAATCCTTAAGCAGTGCTGTACAATATTCGAACTTTTACATTTGTGTTTTTTTTTAACTTCATTTTGTAAAAAGTCACAATGTCGTTGAATTTCGCAAATTTGTCCGGTCTTGAGTTACTGTACCTGTAGCCTTGTGGGTTACTGTATCTATAGCACTTGGGTTACTGTACCTTCATCTTGTGGGTTACTGTAGTTTTATTAATTTGCGATAATCATTTTGTGTATTTGAAAAATTGGCATGTTCTATCTCTCAAGTTATAACTAGCAATTCAACCTTCAGCATCTCAGAAAATGATCAAAATTCCAAATTTACCATAATCCTGATTTTTTTTTCAATTTTTCCTTTTACTCCTCTCCGCATAATTTGAATTCTTCTATCATTTTTCCTAAGTATTCCTTCTCGAGCCAACAAAATTGGCCTTATTTTTACTCTCCTACATCGTCTTGAGACAATAGACACTCCACGATTAATTGGTTGGTTGGCACGACCAGCCAATTCGGGTTGGTGCACCCTACCTGACCAGCCGGGTGGCTTAACGAGCTTCCTCCTCTCCTCCTCAGACACCATAGCAACCTTTGTTCGGAACACCCCACACCCTCTTTTGTTTTTACCTTCCCCGGTTTCAGAAGCTCACGATGAACAAGTTATGGCGATCTTCTTGTCTTCAAGTCTTGATATCTTTCTTGCTAATGCATCAGAATCAGGCAAAGGAGAAAGAGAGATTTGGTAAGTTTCTGGAGATTCTTAACCGCTTACCTTCTAAATTTCCAGTGGAAAGGGTGGATTGTATCGCTGACAGCTTCACTGTGGTGCTAAACAAATCCGATCCAGAAGTAATGAGAATGATTTCCAACCCGAAAGCTCAGCCAGTGGTGTACGTCTACGGCCATAAGACTCGTCACCCTTGTGGAACTTCCATGAAGGACGAGAAGGGACTCACAAACTACAATTTAACAATTCCATATGGAAGTGAATGTGATGTGACGCTCACGGACTTGGTAAGCTTGAATCAATCAAAGAGACTATTTGAAACACCGATTTTTTTAGCCATTCCATCGCTATGCTGAAACTACTGTGGTACTGGAAGATAACTCAGATCTATCGTTTGGAAAAACTACCAGGCTCAATCATGTCTTCTGTTTGTACACAAGGAGTGTCAAGACTATTCGATTCAGTGATGTTTCCAAGTGAGTTGATAGGTCTGATAGGACTTATAGGCTGATAGGGTAATCAGAATCAGTTGCTAAGTGTATTAGAAACTTTGATAGTTTGATGTTTTAAAACTGTGCTAATAGATTGTGATCCTCCATAAGTTTTTCAGGAATCTTTCAAAACCTAAAATTTGTTTTTCAGTGGTCATGAGGTGATGGTTTCAACCGGAGGAAAACCCAAACCAAAAGTTGAAATGCTGTTCCGATCCACAGACAGCGGGAAAACGTTACAAGCAGCTAGAGAAAACGAATACGTGGAGTTCTTCATAGCCTTGTCACCAGATTGTAAGTTGCTAAACAAAATTACAGTAATCTAATACCATTCTTCTAGCTGCTTATCATGGAATCTCTCCAAAAGAATGTACATTCAGCGATCGTGAAGATATCAGCGCGCCGGATGCCAAAAAGATCACATTCGTTCAAGGAGGGTGAGTGAAATCCTTTCCATGACCTTAAACACAATTTCCCGCGCGCAATTTGGTACACGTCTCATTAATTTCGACATCGTTTTGCTTCCGCTTAGCCTAGATACCCCAAAAAAAGCCATTAAAATTTCTTGCGCAAGCTGCACACATAACGAGGGTGTGTGTGCAGACATACCCAACATGTTGGTCGAACCTAATAAAAATTTGGTGCAAATTTGGCAGGTGTCCCGTGAACGGCATGAACGACATAATTGACCCATTGGCAAATGTGAACGACCAAGTGAGTTGGATTTATGTTCTTTGGGCACCTTTCTGGCTTCAAAAGCAGGAGTGGAAAGTGGAAGGGAAGTACCTAATTTATACATGTTCAGATCTACTTCTCCAAGTTCCGCACTTTCCGCTTCGGCAACCAGAGCACCGTATTCGTGCATTGCCAGGTTCAAGTTTGTCTTCAAAAGGAAGAATGCTCTAAGACATGCTACAAAAAAGTGAGCGACTCAAATCTCACCGCGGAACGACTACGATTCCGACACAAGCGAAGCGTCACAGATCTTCCGATTAGACGAGCCAGGTCTACAACATCAGACGACAATGGAGCTGTGGACTTGACCAACTCGATTACCGTAGTCAGTCAGACAGAATCTGCGGAATGTAAGAAGAAAAATTGAATCTTGAAAATTTTGAAAATTATGTTACAGTAATCTCCGCTCCAAGGGCAACGCCTCAACAAGTGTCATCGGTGGTGTACCCGGCAAGTGAACAAAAAAGGGAGCCATGTCCAAACTCGGAAATTCTGGGATTGATTCATATGGCTATCATTGGAACTATGGCCTCGTTATTGTTGTTCGCCACCGCTACAGCGATTTTCTTCGGGTGCAAATTGAGGAAGTTAAGAAAGGTAAGCAAATGATCTTGATAGAAAGAGAGAGAGACTAATCTAGCTTATACGGGAGTTGGAATTTTCAAATAAAACTTTGAGTTTAGAGGGTCAGTAATGGCGCGTCCAAAGTTCCCAAATCTGGGATTTCTGGGCCCAGAAAACAGTCCAAAGTGACGCCCAGATTCCCAAGATTTCCAATTGAGCAAAATTTGAACCAGTGCGACAATGTAATTGTTTATTGAAACAAAATATGCAGAAAAGCATGTAGATTCACATAAAAATAAATAAATTTTCAAAAAAAAGTACCTTTATCGAGAAAAACGTCAGGGCTCTCATCCTAAAAAAAAGAATAATTTTCCGATGGGTTTTTCTCGATGAAGAAACATTTTTTTGAAAATTTATTTATTTTTA